GATTGGTCCCGTAGGCGTTCAACTGACATAGGTATGTTACCTTTTGGATCCTCTCAAGGTGACATCATCTGGATTTATACGCCCGTGATAGGTGGTTTATTGATGGCCGATTTGCCGCATTTAGTTTTAAATAATGTTCATTATTATTATTATTTTGGTGACATTTTATCCAATAGGCTTTGTAATTTTTCTTGGCTGATTGCAATTAAAAGGTTTTTTAAAGAACAAAATTAGAGATTTGTTTCGAACTTACAATTTTAAGCAGTATTGCTCACATCTTATCTACGAACTTCGTACACTGATTATGACAGGCAGATGTCGATTTGGGATACTGAAGAAAAACTTCTACTATCCTGTAAATTGATGAAATAAAGTTCACAACAAATGTAATATTGAATCTGTGGAAAACCTCCAAATTGCGTACACCTGTACCAAATGAATCTTGAGATAGAATATACCAATTTTTCTAGATGATGATCCTCTGCAACAACGAGGAAGAATAATACTCCAGTTCCATAAGCGCCACAAGGTTAAACAGAGCCGATCTTTCCACCTTGAACCATTAAATTTAGGTTGGTACGTGGATTTTTGGATTATTTTATTTGCTAATTGGACAGTATTTCAACAATTCCTTATTTTTAAACAAAACAAAATACAATAAACAAAAGTTATCTTTGGAAAAAATTAAACAAATCATACAAACAAAATTATGTGTTTTTTCCAAACTTTGAACCAGTATTTTTTGATTAACTTCCAATCGGATTGTGGCGCTTTTCAGAGTAAAAAGTCCTTTAAAATGATATGTCAGAAGGTATAGGACCTTAAATTTTAATGTTGCACAACATCAAATATTGTTATAAGATTATCGATAGAGGATTGTCTAAGAGATAATTAAAAATATTAATGGTTGCCAATATTTTTGTCACTCAGCGTAGGTCAATAAAAGTCACGTTTACTGACAGTTTTATTACCTAGATGGGTTAGACAATTTCATTTTATAATTGAGCGTTGATACAGCAGATTCTAATTTATCATAAGAGTTGTACGATTTTCGTTTTTATGATTATGCAATACTAAAGCATTATGTACTTGATATAAATCCATAAATTACCACAATTATAAACTTAATGTTATTGCCAGATTATATCATTAAACCGATCTATCTTTCCTCAGAAACAACTAAACAGCCAACAGTATTATGTGTTTAGATAAATCCAAGAATTACCAAATTTATGAATTTGGTTTCATTGTTTGGATTATCCAGATTTGGCCAATAGGTGATCGGTCGTTGGTTCAGCAAGTCACTCTATGAATAGCCCAAATAGTCCACCACGATTTTTTCCACAATTTTAAACGTGGTTATGTTGTATTTTGCATTAAACCTATCTATGGTATAGCTGGTCTTGCTTAGATTTTCTCTGATTGTTTGTACGATTTTTGTTTGTTGTTTTTGCAGTATTAACAGCATTATGCTTTTGATATAAATCAATAAATTACCACAATTATAAACATGGAGTTATTGTCAGAGAACGCGGATTTGGCCATTAAACCGACCAGCACGTCTCGCTTTGATTTCCTCTAATTGTTCGTATGATTTTTTTTTTTTTTTTGGTAATGCAATATTGACAGCATTATGATCTTGATATGAATCCATAAATTGCGCCAATTAAAAAACATGGTTTCGTTGTCAGGTGACCCGTATTTGACCATTAGGTGGTCGGTCGTTGATCCAGCAAGTCACTCTCTGATTTACCCAAAGGACCACTATTATAAGCTCAGTTTTATTGCTAAATTACCGGTTTATATTCTTAAACGGTTGATTGTACATCAAGTCTTGTGCTCTGATTTATCCTAAGAGTTCGATTTTTGTTTTTAGGTTATGCAATCAATACTAATAGCAATGCCGCTGATAAATTACCGCAATTATATACTTGATTCAATTGCCTAGAATTCCAGGTTATCCGGATTTTGCCATTAATGGTCGAAATGATGGACCTGCAGTACCCTAAGTACTAGAACGATTTCTGCTTTGTTGTTGTACAATACAAACAGAATTATGTACTTGACATTGAATAAAACTATAAAAAACAAAAATTATAAACTTGTTTCAATTGAGTAGAATTCCAGATTGTCCGGATTTTGTCATTAAACCGAACGATGGTCAAGTGGGCGTCGCCCTAATTTACCCTAATGTTAGAACGATTTCTGTTGTGTTGGTCGAAGAATATAAACCGTATTATTCTTGATATATATCAATAAATACCTACATATTTTTTTTATTTAGAGTACCGAGATTTTTACAATAGGTGTGCGATCATAAGTTTAGCAAGTCGCACTGTGATTTACCCTAAGTCCGTGCTTCCCAAACTGTGATCCGCGGCGAATTTCGAGAAAAATTAATAATCGCAAAAATTAACGTAGAATGAATAAATCAAATTAAAAAACTAATAAATAACTAACTAATAAAATTAAAAACAATGGGAAATGAACACGAAAGTTTTTTTATTATGTAGCAGCAGTCATTGTGCATTAGCTATGAAACAAATGCCAGCCTCTTTCAAGAAAATTTTGGGTGAGTCGGTGAGCAAATAATTAATTATATCAAGTCGCGGCCATTGAAGTCAAGACTTTTCACAATATTATGTGTCGATATGGAAAGCCTACATCATTCCCTGCTTAGCTACACAAAAGTGACGTTACTGTCTCGTGGGAAAGCATTTTAACGATTACGAGAAGTCTTATCTCTGTTAATGGTCCACAATGTCAAATTGTCCAACGATTTCAATGATGAGAAAGGGCAATGTATTTTGTCGTATTTATCAGATATTTTCATTAAAATGAATGAGAATATCACTTCGTATGAGAATATCACAACTTTCGATGCTAATGACTAAATTCACCCCTTCAAAACAATATCCAGTTTTGGGTTGAATCTGTTGAGAAGGAAGAGTTGGAGTGTTTTTCTGTGTTAAATGATTTTTTACAAAAAAGCAAACTGCAGCTTGCGTTGATGGATGAAATATGTGAACACCTTCGAAGTTGTTAGATGTTCTTTGAGCACTACTTCCCAACATCTTGAGATACAATACAATGCTGCAAGACCATGAAAGGGTGGTCAAACCGTTTTCAATTTCGACAAAGCCAACCAGTCTATCTTCACGGGAATATGAATGTCTGATTAACAGTTCTTCAGACTCCACCTTGAAATCTACTTTCTAGTCCGATTCCTGACCCTATTTTTGACTCCGACTGGAAAACAAAAAATTTCAACAGCTTGTTGAAAAGCAATGGTTCTTCTTCCATTTTCGACAACTTACCTAGGCGAATCCGAATTTTCTACTTACACAGTTACCAAAACTAAATACCGAAGCTGTTTAAATGCTAAACCAGATATCCATCTCCAGCTATCAAAAATTAACCCCAATATATCCAAATTGTGTAAGCTAAAACAACCTCACTCTTCGATTTTATGTTCCGGATTTTGTAAATAAAGTTAAGTATGCCAATCTAATGTTTGTTTTCATAGTGATATCCCCCTCCATCACTTAATTAGGAATGGATTGGCTAATGCTAAATTATAAAACTTTAATTGAGTACATGTACAATAAACATCTAAGTTTAAATACACGAATGCGAGGGGTTTGTTTGCCTTGGATTTTGTTCTGTGAATAGGGTCCGCTGGCCAAAAAGTTTGGGAAGCCCTGCCCTAAGCGTTGGAAAGATTTCTGTTTTGTTGTTCACAATACAAACCGTATTATATTCTTCATTTACATCAATAAATACCCACATATATAAAATTGTTTTTATTATTTTGAGTACCGAGGTTTGGACGATATGTGAGAGTTCATTAAGTTCAGCAAGTGTCGCCCTGGCTTAGCCTATGTACTAGCACGATTTCTCCTTTTTCGGAGGTGCAATACAAACAGTATTATGTAGTTGGTATTAAACAATCAATTACCACAATTTTAAACTTGGTTCAATTAAATGGAATTCCAGATTATCCGGATTTTGCTTTTAAAACGAACGATGGTCAGGAGGGTCACGTTCTAATTTACCATAAGTATTACAACGGTCGAACATTACAAACCGTATTATGTTGTTGATATAAATAAATACCCACATTCTGAATAGGGTTTTATTTTCAAGATTGCCGAGATTTTGACAATAGGTGAGAGATCTCGTTATGATATACCCTTAGTGTTAGAAGGATCTCTGTTTTGTTGGTCGAACAATACAAACCATGTTATGTACTTGATATAAAACTATAAATTACCACAATTTTAAACTTGGTTCAATTGCCTGAAATTCCAAATTGTCCGGATTTAACCACTAAACTGATCTATGGTTCTTTAAGTCTCGCTCCGATTTAACTTAACCACTTGCACGATTTTTGTTTTGTTGGTTCATTACAGTTCCACTAACATGCTCTTGCTTTAAAACTATAAATCATCACTATTTTAAACTTGGTTTTATTGTCTATATTACCACAATTTTGCACATGGTTGATCGTTCGCCCAGAAAGTTTTGTGCAGATTTTTTCCTAAGTGTAATTTTCATTCCGATGTTATTTATGCAATACTGACTAATAGTGTAATGCTCCTGAGAAAAATTCATAAACTATCCTACGTCTTACTTCTTACGAGTGTGTACTTTACATAATGTAATATATTAACAGCGTGATGTATTTATAGTATATTTACGTATGTTGATTTTTGTCCGTTTTTCGTTGATATCCGTAATAAAATAAATGTTCAATATGATTCTGTGGTTGATGTTTAAGGACCGTTCGTCTGGGAGTCGTCCTGGCGGACTGAGAGGCAAGGCGCCTGCCGGGGAGGCCATGGCTGGCTGCTGGTTGGCCGCCTCCCCGTCCAATGGCGGCCCCGCCCGAGCCCCCTTCTCGGCCGGCCTCCCGTCGCTACTTGCCGCACCAGTAGTTGCCAGGTCACGTATCAACACCCACAACAGCAAGGAGACGAGGTAAGGCCGCCCTTCATCTTCATTAACAGAGATCACGCGGCCCCAGGACGGACGGCTCACCCGGGCCGCCCCTTCCGGAAATAGCCAGTCCCTCCTCGGCCCCCGGTCCGATAGCGGCTCGGAGGCCCTTTTCACTTAGAGTTAATGGATCTAACGCGATTTACAATTAGGATGTGGACTTAGGTAATTCTAGTAAGCCGGGATTGAGTTTTCGACAAATTCCATCATTCAACCCCTTGGAACAACTGGATTCACGACTGACACAGATGGGGTAGGATCGCACTATTTTCACATTAAAATTATGCTTAGCACTAATAAAAAATGTCAATTTATCATAAACTATATACATTTGAACTTTTGTCTTCTTCCTCCAAAGTCATGGATATGTGATCTCACCCTTAAAAAAATAACAGTTTTTCCTTGTCCTTATCTTTTATACAATACTCTCGATTCATTTTAAAACTTTGTTTACTTTTATAAATAAAATCCATTTCCCTGTAATAGCCATTTGACCTCTTTGAACATCGCCCACCAAGCCTTGACAAATATACTTTTCTCACATATATACATTCTAAATAAAATAACTTGACAATCCACGGGATTTTCCCAAGTTGGACATTTATTTATTCTAAACTCGTTTTGTTTCATCCATTTTTACCACAATTTTTTCCCATAGGGCTTGTTTTTATAAACTTTTTTAGCGTTATGTTCATTCTCATCATCAACCCGTAAATAAATCATTCGTTGCACATAATTTTGCTAAATTAAACACCATTTTTTTCGTTACAAAATTATAGATCAAAAAGAGATATAGTGTTTTCTAATAATTAAACTATTTTTTTATCCTTCTGTTTCTATACTAGTCTTGTTTTATTCTGTTTGTTAAAACTTATAATTGAACCGGGACTTGCAAGTTTGTTTCCTAATAAATAAACAGTCTGTTAGTTTCTTCTTTATCCACCTAGACATTTAATATTTTGACCTACTACAAGTCGAATTGATTTTTCCCACATTTAAAAAAACCTCAGATTGAAGTCAAAATTAGAGTTTTCTGTAAATTCACATTTAAAAGTTTACAAATTTTCCCCCAAACAATCAAGTTGCAGATAAAATTTTCTACGAATATCTTTTCTGATAAATAGTCTCAAAATTATTCTTGAAGGGATTTTGCTATTTTCTTCCTATACACTTTACTTGATTTTCTCCATTTCTGTTACGATTTTTTTACTGCTACCACAGAAATATTCTAAATATAGTAAATTGACAACCCTTTAATAGCGTCTGATTCGCTTGTTGAACCCCATTTTGTTATAGTTTCATATAGGTTTTCTAATAAAGAAAAAGTTTGCTTGATTTTATTGATAAAAATAAATTTTAATTAATTTCATTTAACCTTTCACCAACATATTTAGGCCGTGGTAAACATGTATTTTGCACACTCTTAAGCACAGTACTAAATAGCAATTTTTAACATCCTGATTGGAAGCGTTGTATTAATAAATAAAAGTCCATTTTTTGTCTAATCATAACAATTTTTTGATATTCATCAACTCATGGCGAATATATTTTTCTTACTTTTATACATTTTATACTTTTTTACTTTTATGCATTCTAAATAAACAATTTGACAAGCCTTTCATTTAAAAATTTTGCCAATCGGACATCAATTCGTTCAAGAATGTGCGATTGTTTATTCTCTAGTGTATAAAGAACAGGAATCGAAGTTGGGTATTTTTTATGGTAAACCAACGCTTTTGTTTTGTCCATTTTTACCACAACGATTGTTTTTTTCGTAAGGATTTGTTTTTGTAAAGCATTTTATCATTATATTTATATGACATTTTAACATCCTTCACCAACCCGTGGCCTATTCCTTTTCACCCTTAACCCTTAAATCATTCGGCCAAATTAAACATAATTTTTTCGCTAAAAATTACTATCAGAGCAAAGATGGGTTTTTTCTTATATTAATTTTTTTTAATCCTTCTATTTTCATACTGACCTCTTTTTGTTTTTCCTCGTTTGCTCTTGTAAGTCAAGTCCATTATTGATATATTCATTTGGCATTTTGACTTCGTCCACCTAGACTTAGATGTAAATATATGACACCCTTTAAAATTCTAAACGAAACAACTACACAAAGTCGTGTGTTTTGAAAAAAACCTTCTTTTTCCATGTAGTCATTTGATCTTCTGACCTCCTCCAAGCCACGCCGAATTGAATTTTTCCCACCTCTATTAAATCTGCGATAGCAGTGAAAAGTCCAAAATCTAAACTTTCGGGAAATCTTATTTAAAGGTTTAAATATTTCCTCAAATAGTCAAGTGGTGGATAAAATTTCCATTTTCTGTTTTTCTGATTCTCTCAACACTAGCGTACTTTCTTAAATATACTTTAGCNGAGAGAGAGAGAGAGAGAGAGAGAGAGTGAGAGAGAAAGAAAGGGAGAGGGAGGGAGGGAACGAGAGAGAGGATAGAGATTCAGAGAGAAAGATACATAAACATAGCGAGCGAGTCTACTGTTGAGAGATTATGAGTGTGCGTGCGTGTGTTTAATATGCGAATATATATGTTTATAGCATACCTTCTTAACTCGATTTTCACAATTTTTGACTTAACCCACTTTTCACCGCAACCAAAGAAATATTCTAAATGCATATAGCAAATTGACAGACCTTTAATGTCATATAATTTTACCAATTAAACACTTGTTATAGTTTGGTATAGGTTAACTAATAAACAAACAGTTAGTTTCTTTTTATTGATACAAAATCACTTTTTAATTAACTTCATTGAATCCTTTCAACGATCTTTAAGCTGTGGGAAATATATATTTGCACACCCCTAAATAATAGTTTTTCACAATCTCAATTATGTGATAAAATACACCAAGCTGGATTGAATTTTTAAAAAAATCAGTTTAATATTATAAATGAAGCCCATTTCTTATCAATTATAATTAATTGGCACCTTTTCTCATCAGCCATCAAGCCATGGCAAAAATATTTTTCCCACCTTTACACATATTTAACACATTTTGTTAGTACGACTTGTGTATTTTTAAAATATTGTTTGTTTTCCCTTCTTCCCTCAGTTTTAGCACAAGTGCTCTTGATTTTTGTTTATTTTTTACGCAATACTAATTTCATTATAGTTGCAAGTTAAATCTATAAATTACCGCAATTAAAAACTTGGCTTTATTGTCTTAAATTCTGGATTATACGGAGTTAGCCATTAAACCGATCTATGATCCAGCAAGACTCGCTTTTATTTACCCTAATTGTTATTACAATTTTTGTTTGGATGACTGTGCAATAATTAAAGTTTTATGTGCTTGATATAAGCCTATAATTCACCACAACTTTTAAGTTGGTTTTATAATTTTGAATTCCAGATTTGACCGGATTTTACCCTTAAACTGATCGATAGTTCAACGGATCTCGTTCTGACTTTTTCCTAAGGGTTAGAATAATTTTTGTTTAGTTATTTATGCAACATTAACAGTATTTTGTACTTGATATATATTCATAAGTATCACAATTAAAAACTTGTCTTTATTGTTTGGATGCCAGATTGCCTGGTTTTGCCACTAATCCGATCTATGGTCCAGCAAGTCTCGCTTTGATTTACCCTTCTAAAAAATGTTAGTATGATTTTTGTATTGATGTTCTATAGTTTCTGGAATGTTTATTAATAGTGTAATCCCCTTGATACAAATCCATAAAATATCGTACGTACGTTTTAGTTCCTATGAAAGTGTGCTGTTTTTATTTCCTTCATATTCGTAAATAATTCGTTCTCAGGATTTTTACAGGAGCTCGTTGCATTTTACAACTTTTTCTCCTCTTAATAAAATCCATTTTTTGTTAATTATATCTGCTTAATCTTTCGACTTCGTCTATCAAGCGCCGGTACTATAATCTTTATCGTCTTTAAACAATGTAAATAACCCAACTTGACATAAAGGTTTTGCCAAATTTAAAGTTTGTTGGCAATCTGATTGTTTATTCGATAAGAATTACATTCCAAGTATTTTTATTACATGTGCGGCTCGTTCTTTTCAAACTGGACAACGTAAATAAAGCACATTTTCTGTGCAACGAATTGCAACGAATACAAAAACGATTCTAATTTTTTTAAAAACTGTACAAAATTTCGATTTTTGTGACGAAATAATTGTTGCAAATATCATCAAGGTCATGTATATATATACAAAAATCGAAATTTTTTACAGTTTTTTTAAAAATCAGAATCGTTTTTAAAAACTTGACTTTCTCTTATAGATAACTTGGTCGTTACTGATCATTTTGGTTTGCATTTTATTACTAGGTTCATCTGGTTTTTGTCACTAACACAGCGAAGGTATGCGGATCAACACGATCTATAACTACCAAATCACAGGATAATCATTCCGCAGGCCACACGAAGGACTCTCACAATATCATAAATTTATGACATGTGTTTTCAGTGATTATATCCATTTAGCATTTTGACTCTGTCCACCAACCTACTTGTTCATTTATGACTATTTTCGATAAAGGACTACAATTGGATCAAATTTTGCTAAAGTTCGTTTTCTTGGATTATTTAAACAGGCTGTTAGTTTTTTTTGTCCACATTAGGCAGGTTTCTTGTTAACACTTTCGTTTACTGTTGTACATAAAGTCCATTTCTCGTTTATTAAATCCATTTGGAATTTGAATTTATCCACCGAGCCATTGCAAATAAACTTTTCACGCTTTTGAACATTCTAAACATAGCAATATAGATTAATATTGGCCTTAATAATATAAATGTATATAAAAAAATAGGGAAAGACGAATTTAAAAGAAAAAAAAAACCCTGTTCTTTCAAGGAATGTATCCCCCTCATCAGAACTTTGAAATTATTTCTAATGATTTACCGGGTTAAAAAATATAAACATTTACTTACTATATTAAAAATTATGACTTTAGTTTATGAGTTCATGTTAGTAGAAGGGACCAGATCCATTCTATTATACAATTGTCAATGGTAAGAAAATGAAACTGTGGTTTTATTTTTTTCGAATTTGCATTATCACTGGTATGCATTCATGTATAAACGTTTAATGGCATGCAATTTTTCCAATTGAACACTTGGTTGTTAACTTTTCATTGAATCGAAGAGAAAATATTTTTTCTCACCCTAAAATATATTCAATAACACTTTGTTATTATATTAAATAACACCGATGTTGGGCTCCATGAGCTATCAACAGGTAGGTCATTTCAGCAATTCCTAGATCCACACC